TGGTTCCTCTATTTATAGAGAAGGAGATCAATCCCCTTCTAGGGTTTTGGTGACACGTGTTAGTAGAGGGTTGGTTCCCTTTGGGCCTCTCTAAGGCTGACACGTGTCAACAAGCTATTGGGACACATGTTGCGTTAAAAGTGGTCCGTTTGTTAGGGGTATTTTACCCCCAAACAAATACTATCTCATGTATGGTTGAATTGTATTCAATTATAGATTTGAAATCCCGAACCGTAAATTTGTCCAGTCAAATAATGCCTTAGGAAGGAGCACCCTTTTTTGGTGTCCAAATCTTTCATTAAGGCAATCCCATAATTCTTTGGGATCTTCAACCATCATGTACTCAAGTTTAAGGCCTTCATGCAAATGATGCCTTAGTAACACTAAGGCTTTTGCCTTTTCTTGTTCAGTAACAGGTTTTACAACCGTCATTGCAGAAGTGGTAGTATCAGTTGGTTGACCAGAGGGACTTTTATTATTTTTATTAGTGTGCTCCAACCCTTAAGCTTTCAAATTCATCATGGCATCCACTTTCCATTCCAAAAATTTCTTTCCAGATAAATCTAGGACGCTGAATTGTCTTTTTCATAAGATCTCCCATTTTAACTACAACAAATTACGTGATAATTAGTTTATAATAATAAATCATATGTACAACACATATGTTTAATTCACTACTAGAAAACAGTCAATCAACGACGGAAAAAATCCGTCGGAAAACCCTGAAATTCCGTCGAAAATGCCCATTTCCGACGGAATTCCGTCGGAAAGCATTGTCGGAAGACCTTTTGTAGGTATTTTGCGATATTCCGTCGGAAATTCCGTCGGAAAGGTCTATTCCGACGGAATTTCCGACGGATTTTGTTCTGTCGGCGCTTTTGTTGACTTTCAGTGAAAATCCGTCGCAACAACGGAAATTTCCGTCGGAGTGGGATATGTTCCGACGGAAATTTCCGTCGGTGGGGGAGATGTTCTGACGGAAAATTCCGTCGGAAAAATAAAAAAAAAATTAAAAAAAACAGCCCCCCACCCCAGCTGCCCAGACCCACCCCCGCCACCAGCCCACCACCACCCACCCCCCCACCACAGACCCCCAGCAGCTCCCCACCCCAGCTGCCCAGACCCACCCCCGCCACCAGCCCACCACCACCCACCCCCCCACCACAGACCCCCAACAGCCCCCCACCCCAGCTGCCCAGACCCACCCCCGCCACCAGCCTACCACCACCCACCCCCCCACCACAGACCCCCAGCAGCTCCCTAACCCTCTGCCCCTAACCCGTACCACCAACCCACACCACCCCACACCAACACTGCCCACCTACCCGCCTTACCCACCAACCTACACCACCCCACAACCACCTTAAACCACCCACACCAACACTGCCCACCTACCCCCCTTACCCACCAACCCACACCACCCCACAACCACCTTAAACCACCCCCCAAAACCCGAAACCACCAGATCTACCACCTTAAACCTCAAACCACCCACCATCACACCCCCAAAAATTTAAAAAAAAAAAAAACAAAGAAAAAAAGTCAGAAAAACCGAACCACCCACCATCACACCCACAAACCGAACCACCCCTACCACCAGCCACCACCACCACCACCACCACCCCACGCAACCAAAACCCTAAACCTCCCGGAAAACGAAAAAAAAATCACCGAATTCGAAAAAAAAAAAAACAGAAATTACAAACACAAAAATATACCTTAAAACCCTGAATTGAGTTCGAGTTTGGTTTATTAAGGCCAAATTTGACCATGAAAAGTCTAGATCTACAATTTTCATGATCAAATTTGACCAAAAAAACAATTAAATGTTAGGGGAAGGAGAAGGGGCGAAGAAGGAGAAAGGGGAAGGAGAAAAGGGGCGAGGAAGGAGAAAGGGGAAGGAGGAAGGGGCGAGGAAGGAGAAAAGGGAAGGAGGAAGGGGCGAGGGGAAGGAGAAAAGGGGCGAGGAAGGAGAAGGAGGAAGAGGAGATCAGAGAAGAAGAGGAAGGAGGAGAGAGAAAGGGTTTCTAGAATTTGGGTATTAGGGTTGAAAATTTTCTGGATTTTTTTTATATATATAGTAGGACGTTTCGACGGATAAAAATTCGTCGGAATATTTAGGTTTTCCGAGGGAATATTCCGTAGGAAATTTCCGACGGATTTAAATTCCGTAGGAAAACTAACTTTCCGACGGAATATTCCGTAGGAAGCCTATTGTTCCGAGGGAATTAACTTCCGTCGCAAGAATTCCGACGGATTTTCCATCGTAACGAACTATTTCTGACGGAATGTTCCGACAAATCCTAATTCCGTCAGAAAGTTCGGAATTTCCGACGGAATTTACGTCCGTCGGAACGATTCCCTCGAAAAACGTCCTATTTCTAGTAGTGATTCTTCCATATTTATAGTTTGTTAATGTAACACATGATAATTAAATTTATTTAACAATAATAAACCATAAATAATATAGTTCTTTTCTCCCCCTTGGTTTATTATTGTGAGTAATTATATAGTTAGGCGAAAATAAATCATATTAGTCGCATAAACAGCAAAACGACAACAACATCAATAGTAACAATAATTATAATAATAACGGTAATGTTATACAATGATGATTAATAACAACAAAACAACATAATAAAACAAAAACATGCTTTTAATCTACTAAAACGACAAAATAAACAAACTTCACGTGTACATCATGACAAAAATTAATATTGCTACTAACAGAGCTACAAGCGCCATAATTAGAAGAAAATATTAATTTATCTTCCTTAAATCTTCCTCAAAAGTGAAGGTGTGGGTATTTTGGTTGCCGTCGTCGGGGAACACATCGGAGAAGAAGGGGGTGAAAAATTGTGGGTGATTTTTGGATTAAAAAAATGGGAAAGGATAAGGGATTTGTGGTGAAATCGAGGGAAAAATCTGCCTTTTATTGAGGTAGGTTTATCTGTTACTATTCTGTTCAACTGTAAAAGTACCATATAATAGTCTAATGTACTGGCAAAATTATGGTCCGAACATAAATATTTATAATTGTAAAAGGTTATCACACTAGGAATGCAAGCTATAGTGGTCCGAGAACCCTAATATCTATAAAATATCATGGGTTCGAAAACGGAAAGAAACACAAAAAGTACGAAAAAGAAAGAAAAAAAAATAATAAGTATAAAAAGGCTACATCTTTTTGTCAATTTAGTTAATAATATGTATGCAAAGTTACTACTAAGCAATTATAATAACTAAAATCAAATTGTACATAAAAGGTGAGTATGTAATATCAACATGCATGAATCAAACAAAAAAACCAAGATACCAACGTGAATAAAACAAGGGAGGATAGTAATGAATTCATAAGAGAAATTTTTTTTTCACCGTTGTGTTTTTTTTTTTTTTTTTTTTTTTTTTTTTTTTTAATACAGTAAATGTTTGAGTTAATAGTATAGAGGATCCAAAATATGGGCAACTATAGAGCATACTCCTTAAAACATTTAGAAGTAGATAGTATTTATTTGTTATAATTTAGAGAAGTAGGTATAAATATACCTGACTAGGAATTGGTGCTGATAACGTGTTTAAAAGGTGACTCTCTAACTATAGAATGATATTGAAAATAGAGGAGTGAACAAGTAGAGAAATATTGCTACGGTTAATTTTCATTGCCTTCTACATAGTTCACAATGGTGAACTTATTAATAGGCAAAATATTGTCATACAATTATTTGCACAATTGTACTATTATACAATTATTATACTAAGTTTGCTACCAACTATTGTATTAGAGAAGTTCATGTGAACTTCATTTTGTATATATCTTCAACAATAATATTTTATTGTAGATTTTTGCCTATATAATGAACAACTTCACGTAGTAGAATACTACTACACTTCCCCACCTTCTTTCTTTTGATTAATAACTTTCTATCGATAAAAGTTTCTAATATTTTGGTTGTTTTTACGTGACTTTTTCTTACTTCTCAACCCAAGCTTTTCCATTATTTTTTACTTGAATGTTGAAAATTTCACACTTGTCAATGTACCTTTTTATAAATATCACTAAATATACTTCAACATGCATTATATACAAAGTATAAAGTCGGAGAAAATTCAAGTATATATTCTTGATAAACTAGTAGTGTTTTGGTAAACTCGCGTGGCAAAGTGGTGATGTATTTGTAAAATCCATGTCTAATATGTTACAATAATGATCTCAGCTGTTTTCACCATTTCACAGAGATTCAAGAAGAGAGACGCATGAATGAAGAAGCTGACAAACACAACATAGGGTTAACCATTCCCTACATTTATACATTTTTTTTAGGGTTTTCTTTGACTTATAGCTGTAGTTTCTCCATTGAAGCACCCTTCTTAGCTTGGTATATCCTCCATTGAAATATTAATCGAATTTCTCCGTTGATACGACTTATGAGTTCTCTCCATTTGTGGACGGGAGGGGAGGAGAAAGAAAGAAACAATTCCAATTTATCCATTGAATTTGTTTATGAGCTTTGTCCATTGTGGACAAGAGGAGAGGAAAGAGAGAACTCGAAAATGGTGTCCATGGGAGGGAGAGGAGAGAAAGCTAGGAGGAAGAGGAAATTAACATTAACAGCGTATTCTTGGAACAATAGCTCCAAATTTTTATTTCTTCTATTTTTAAGTTAAATTCTTTTTTAGTGAGTTGACTAATTGAGATAAACATAAAATGTGTATCTATGACATCAATAGGGACTGCCTCATAAAATTGATATATAAAAGATATATGTCTAAGACAAAGCTTACAAGATCAATTGTATTTTTCCCAGTGTACAAATCACAAAATACAGTCAAATAACAAATGAATTATCTTGCGAGGCCTTGAGCCCTTGACTAGACGTGTTCCCATGTAATTCCCATCCCTTGAAAAAAGCATACATTCACAACGAGAGAAGTTCTTTCTAGATATTCCCTCATAGAGGTTAAATGTAAAAGGTCAAAATTATGGCACAATTAATCGAATATGGAAGTCAAATTTATGTACATATTCACAAATCCTCATATATTATTGTAAACTGTCGAAGACACTTAAAGAAGGCAAATTCACTGATACTAGTAAATTGTCTTCTTGGAGTGACGAAATGAAAGTATATATTCCACACAATATATCCTTGGAGAGAAGATCAATTAACATTTCAAAAATGAAAAAATAAAGATCAATACCAAACAAGCATTTAACTTTTAAGAGACTGAAACTTGAAAGCCTGATATTCACATAAAGAAAAATTTGAACAAACATCATACATAGCGATTAAACAGACAACGAAATGCTCTTCTGGTTAGTGGGATTAAGCAGTTTTATCTCCCAAGAATTGACCTCATGTTCTTCAGGGAGAATGAATGGCAAAGATATCTCCTGGATCATCAACTCACCACAAAACGGGCATTCACTTGCAATTTCTTCATCCAATTGGGAACGTATCTGTCCATAGATTAATTACACATCAAATGACTGAAATTATAATCAGATAAAGCTCAATCCCGAATGAGTAAACCATACGAATAACCCTAATATTTGTTTATTTCATAAACATATGAAGTGAAAAGCACAATGAGAGATAGTAGCTGGGATTATCTAGCCAGTAGCCACAGGTACAAAAAAGAGAGCTAAATCAACTCAGCTCATCTATAACGTTCTAGGCTATTTCACAAAAAATCTTTGCTAACCACATGAACAGTTTTGTTGTATATTTCAACTTCTTGCTAACGGAGCACCATCATATTTGAACATTCTAGGCTATTTCATATAAATTCTTGCTAACCACATAAACAGTTTTGTTGCATATTTCAACTTCTTGCTGGAGCAGCATTCCAAATTAAAATACTAGTAATATTGGTACAGTAATAACGTAAGTTACTTAGAAGCAAATCTTGGTAACAAACCACAGAATTGTTACAAATGTGAAGCCTGAAGCAGGATACAGTCAAACTGTTGGATAGTAACAAAAGCAGGAAATGCGAGGGAACATTTAGGTAATCCATATAAGTGCATAAAAAATTATACTGGTCAACATTTATTATGCATTCTATGCACTCACACATAAAAAAACTCACTAGAGATGGAAAGAAAATTGTGAGAAGAAACGGCATCCTCAAGATAGAAAGAATATCACAAGAATGCAAAGCATCCCCAAGAAAATTCTGGTTAAGAATTAATTAAGACAACAGATCTCCCAGTTAAGTCCTCTTCCAGATTTTATTGCCAAAGTTAAAAAGGCCTAAGGGCACTTTTAGCTTAAAAGCTAGCTTCTGAAAAACCGACAGATACAATTGCTAAATTGATTTGAGTCTATAAAGCAATGAAACATTCACCTACCATGCTCCAAATACTACTGACAGTTTACCAGTAGACATCCATATTTAGTGTAAATTAGCAAACAGTACTTCTATAACAGATCCATCACTTAGATAAGCGCATTTGAGTGAATGTTTTTAAGAAAAATATAAGTTACGGCACGCACTTTGAGGTCGAGATTATATAATGTTTTTAATAATAATAATAAAAAAAAAAAATAAAAAAAAAAGCATATGTAGAGTGAAGAAATCAACCTTATCTACTTGGTTCATGCTGGCAACAGGTTCATGAACAGTTAGGCTACCATCAGAATCTCTTCTTGTTTCACCACTCACCAAAGACAATTGCTTTTGTAGATCAAGTATATGCTCCGCCTGCAAATTAATCCATTCAAGACATATATCAGTTATTTAGAAATAAAAATAACTGAAATAAGTGCTGTAAAATAGTTAACCCACAATAATGTTTGGGTAAAACACTCCAATGCATGTTCATAAAGGCTCACATAATACACTCAAACCAGAACCCAATTTTTGATGGGCAAGCAAATAAAAATTCATAACATTCTCCATTACAATGAGGCGTTGCCATCGGATTGCATTATGAAAAAGCATCAGCACACAGATACTATGTTACTCAAACTTGGCTAGAAGTGTCAAACACAGCCTTTATATGAAAATTTTGCATTACTTTCGGTGAAAACGTGTCCCGAGTGTTGAGTATCATTAGTACTTGAGGTAAAATGAAGGGTTGGAGTTACATAACATTGATATGTTGTACAACACTGTTCCAATTTATATCACATACTCCCTCCTTTTTAATATAATCGTTACACTTTGAATTTTGGTATTATCAAAAAACTTCAATTTGACAATAGTTTGTGGTTATGAATTTTCACGAGGGGTCATGATAAATTCATCTGAATATGAATTTTCAAAATATCAACTGTATGCTTCCACCGTTTTTAAACACTTGCAACACACCTTTACGGCACGCACTTTGAGGTCGAGATTATATAATGTAATCGACTAAATTAATCAAAATAATATAATCCTAGTGTTAATAGTTTTTTTGAAAAAATCGTTTGTTTACCTTCACTAATCACCTCCTAAAACTACGTGCTTAAAGGTTGTGTTGCAAATAAAAGAATACGGAGGAAGTATTATTTTTACATATAAGTAACTAGAGATATTGATGCTTAATGTTTTACATTGCCAAGTGTGAAATGGTATAGAGTAAATGATATATTGGATAGAGAGAGTATATGTAAAACTAAGTCAACTAAGAAGAAGCTGAAGAGATGAAAGGAGATGACAAGGACAAATTGACTACAAAAGTTGGAAGGAATTCAATATTCAAGACCTACTTCATTTCCAACACTGAGTAATATAGGTAGTGTTGATTAATAATGACCAAATATAGGTTTAGATTTCATTTGGATACATATCAATTTACCATTTCCACCTCATACTCCCTCTGCCCGCCAATTTATTGCCCCATTCCCTGTTTCTACTTTATTAAGACTTGGGTAAAAAAAAAGAAAAAAAAAACAGAAGGGTAGGGTCCATGTATTTTTATTAACTAAGCTAAGAGGAGAGAGAATATGTCTCAGCTAAAGTACTAAACCCAACACCACAAATATCTTTCTACTGCAACGTTCATCATCAATCAAAAAATTAAATTCATCACAAAAACTTCTCTAATTGCACCGTTCATCATAAATTACCACCCCTTTCCATTTTCCACCATTTTTTAATCACCATTAAAACTACAACCACTAAACCACCAGTAGACCACCATGTAAAATTAAAACCACCACCATGAATTCCAAAACTGCAAGCCAACCCTTCTCAAAATCCAAACTTATTATAGGGTCAAAATTGACCGGAATAATTCTAGATCTAATAGTTGATTTCCCTTCCCCGTTATTTTTTTCATGGTTTTTTTTTGATTTTTTAAACCTAATCTAAAATTTTGTCAGATCTAGAATTTTTGGTAGTTAGTTAGTGACTAAGGAGAGAGATTTTCGAAAGGAAAGAAAGTGAAATGACGTGGTGGTGGTGAGTGGTGATGAGGAGAGAGAAATTGAAACCGGTGGTGGATTGATGGGGGTGAGGAGAGAGAAAGTGTAACGGTGGTGGTGGTGGTGAGGAGATAGAAAGTGTAACCGTGGTGGTAGTGAAGAGAGAGAAAGTATATGTAGTGGTGGTGGTGGTGGCGACGGCAAGAGAGGAGAGAGAAAATATGGTATATAACTTGGGTTAGGGGCTTTGTTAGTAGAGAAATTAGAGTTAATTGGGTGGTTTTCAACAATTAAATGTAGTTAAGAATGTGCGGACATGTCCAAAAATGGAATGGGGCAATAAATAAGGGACATTCATTGATGGCAAATGGAGAAAAAAGAAAAAAGGGACACATGGGGTATTTGTAAAGGGAACGTTAGGTTTTAAAGGACAAAGGGATAAAATAAAAAGGGATACGAGGGGAAAGGAAAGAAGAAGTCCAAAATCTTTGATGTTTGTGTGAATATAAGGGAAATACAAACCAAACTAACATGATCACATTCTTTTATTCCACAACCACCACTATTGACATCGAAAAAAGCTTTAACCACCACCATCCCACACCCTTCAATCTCACCAACAACACCATTACACCATCAAGCCATCTAGGGACCATTCCATCCTACCCTCTCTAGTAGTAGTAAACTTCTCTTACATTTTTTTTTAATTCCATTTATGGAATACACCTTTTACTATCTACCTCTCTTACAATAGGAACATTATAGCATTAAGACTCGAGTGAGGGTTGGGGTTGGTTATTGGCTGGTTGTGAGTAGAGACTTGGCTTTTTGGGTTGATAAAAGGGTAATCACGCGGATTTTGGAGGCAGTGGCTTGATTTTAATGGGTGGTGGGTGGGTTTTTGTTGGATTTTGTAGCTAAGGGCTGGTTTTAGGTAGGTTATTTGAGTGGTGGATAGATTTTCGAAGTGAAAGGCTGGAGATGGGTTGGTAGTGCTTGGGAGGATTATATGTGTGGCCTAGGTTGGTAGTGTGAGTGGTTTAATGGTCACTATTGGTGGTTTGGCAGAGGGTGTACATTCAGGTACCCAGTTGGTTTCTTAGGAACCAACTCGAAACCAGTCAAAACCAGTTTCTGAAATTTAGAAACGAAATTGGAACCGGATTTAACTAGTTCCCAAATTTCTGGAACCGGTCTTGGAACCGGTTATGGAAACCGGGTACCTGGTTGTTTTTATCTTGATAAATGCTCATATAGAGTCGTCATAAATCTCTTCATAGATCAAGCTTTTTGGAGCAAAAACCTTAAGTCGGGTAGATCTAAAGAGGAGGATGGATACATTAACATTAAAATGACGAGGAAAAAAAAGACCCTGTGGTGCAAATGTTCTAAGTTTATGAAAAAAAAAAATGCCAATTAAAGAGCATGATGGAGTAATGGAAATATCATTATATCAAAGATGAAATTTGAAGATAAAGATGGTGCAAAGAGTGAACAAAATGTTGAGAGTATAAGATTCTGGTAATATTTTTTGACACTGGAGGCGTGAGATACTAAGAGGGAGTTATAGATTCTTAGTTATTTTTAAGAGAGATATTTTATGGGTTGAACTATGGGCTATTTTTTTTTTTTTACTATGGGCTCAGAACTAAGATGTATTCTTTAGTTTTGTTAATAATATATTTCCAGCTGCTTTGGGATCGAGTCCACCAGTGGGGGAACCAGTGCAAACTGAGTCCTTGTGTTTGGAGCCGGAACCGGTAGAACCAATTCCAACTCCAGACCCACTGGTTACGATTCCAAAATCAGGTACCCATATGTTTTGCTCACCCCTAGTGAGAAATGGGTGTAGACGTCTTTAAGGGTAAGAAGAGGTGAAGGGTATAACTAAACAGAACTAGCAAATAACAACTAAGGGCTTGTTTGGTTGACATAAAAAAAACATGAAAAGTGAGACTTCCTAGGAATTGCAAGTTTTGTGTCTTGTTTGGTTGACAAAAGTTTGGTGAAATAGGGGAAGTGGAACTTCCTAGTAATTTTGAGTTCCCACAAAATGTAAAAATTTACATACCTAATCCCCTTTAGGTAAGTAGAAATTCCAAGTTATTTCCCTCATTGTTAACCAAACTTTTTTAGGAAATTCTCATGAATTTGATTATAGGAATTTAATTCTCATAAATTTGCAATTCACGGGAATATGTGAACCAAATGACACCTAAATATCCAAAAACCCTCCCTTAGTATTTTTCCTTCTACGGTATAGCTTCTTCTCACCTAAGGTGCTAATTTTTACCATCTTTTTAAATTTCTACTACCTCTGTTTCCTATTATCTGTAACTAATGCTAATGCTTAAGAAAAAATGGTAATTAATGCTTAAGAAAGTTATGGGCATGCCATTAAGTTAATCAAATCAGAATACAACCAAAAAAAAAAATAAAAAAATCGAAGAACAACCACGAAAAACCAAAATCATCAAAGATCAACCCAGAATTCAATTCGTCAACTTGACGAAAATTATAACAAACAAAAATATAAAATCAAAGAACAACTACAAAAATTAAAAGCAACCCAAATTGAAAAGTATGGAAAGATTCGCCTAAAAACCTACGAAATTGAAGTATGAAGATTAAAAGTAGGAAAATAAAATAGGGGAAAATCTTGAAAAACCCACGAAAATGGTTTAGACAACCACCCTAACCCTCTTCGCAACCGGTCTAGCCCTCTTTGACAACCACCCTAATAACCCAGAAACTGTCTTTCCTTCTTCGCCGTCTTTCGCGACCAGATCTGGGAAAAAGAGGATAGAGAAAGAATCTTCAATTTAGCTACCTCTTTCTTAAATTGTTCATTTTAGTGTTTTTTTTTTTTTTTCAAATTTCTTCTCAATTGGTGAGAAGATTTGATGAATTAATTTGGGAAGATGAAGTTGATGAATTTTTTAAGGTTGAAAAGAATAAAGAGAAAGAGGTTAAAGGAAGAGAGAGAAACATGAAAGTTTTTAAGTTGAAGATGAAAGAAAATTGAAAGAGGTTGAAGGAGAGAGAATAGAGAATGGGGAAGATGAAAGAAAATTTATTTGATGAATATTGAAGATTAAATGAATTAGTTTAGGTTGAATTCAATGAATTGTCTGAGAGAATGAATTAAGTAGGGGTGGAATAGGTAGATTAATTAAATTAGAGTTTTTTAATCAAGGTTATGAAATTTTAAGTAAGGCTATTTTTGTAATTTTATCAAAAAAAATTTACTAAAAAGGGAAAGATTTGGGAAAGTTGCACATTATATGAAACGTCCGTTTTTAGCAAAAGTTGCAGATAATAAGAAACAGAGGTAATATATTTATTTTCTATGCCCATGTGATTGATGTGAGGTGATCAACTAAAATAATTAATGCAAGGGCTTAACTTAGGCCTAACTTTCCTATATAGAATTTGATGCTTAACAGTAAGCACCAAGTAAGAAATTCGTTTGACAATTCCAACAGTACTCTGTAAATTACAGATTTATATGTCGACATGTTCCATATCACATTTCCATTGCATATGGAATTTCACAATATCATTATGGAAAAATTTACAAGAATAATACAAACTTTGCCAGGTCTTCTTTAAACAAGACAAACTTTTAATAATTCCTAAACAAGACAAACTTTGGTATGTATTTTCTGTAAACATGACACACTTTTAATAATTCCTAAACAAGACAAACTTTGGTATGTATTTTCTGTGACCTATTATATCAGGTTACATACAGGTTATAAGTATTAATAATTAATAATTTAATTAGCTTACTTATTAATACGTAATTATACCTAATTATTTTTAAAATTTTGATCAAATCCTAAGTAAAACCTATTTAACATAATTAACTAATCAAACTATTTAAAAAATAAAAAAATAAAAATTAATCAACCTATCTCAAAATCAATAAATAATTGAATTTACTTGTATTGTTAATATTATCATTAACACCATTTTTATTGTATAATTATCTTATTTTATTATTAAAAAAATCACCCTCCACCAGGCGCCCAATATAGCCCCCTATACCGACGGTAGAGTCCCCACCAGGCCACCACAATCAGCCATCTCCACCCCAACCCTGGTTAGTGAACCCTACCAGCCCCCCACCCAGACCCGTACCCTAGCCGGCGACCCCACCCATGCTTTCATTGTCGAAACCAGCCAGCCCCGACCTTTGCCCCCCGTCGGCAGACCCAACCCACCCCAATTCCGAGCGAAGTACAACGGGAGGGGTTTTGTCGATGGGTTGCAGATGGGGTTTTCGAGTAGGATACCGGTGGTTTTAATGGGTTATATTTGGGGGTTAGCAGTGGGTCGACATTGGGTATGCAGTGGTGAAATGGGTGGTGAGTTGGTAACTTGGTGATTGAGGTGGTGGGATGAGTTTCGGGGTTGCTGGGTTTTAGGGATTAGTTGTTAACTTTTTTTTTTTTAAGAAGAATTTTTATTTATATTAAAGGTAAATCAATTATTATTATTTTTATCTTCTAAAAAAACTATTAAAAAAAGTTAAATACAAAATACAAAATACATAATATAAAATTACAAAATAAATATAAATCAAATGGTGACCTATTCGACAGGTCACCGGTAAATTTTCTTGTTTAAAGAAAATATATATCAAAGTTTATCTTGTTTAGGAAAAATCGAAAGTTTGTCTTGTTCAAAGAAGACCACGCAAAGTTTGTATTATTCTTGTAAATTATTCCTATCATTATTGACTGAAATATTAAAAGAAAGCTAATCAGGTCTGGAGGCGGGGTGTTTTGGTGGGTGGGTGAGAATCTTATCACATAATTGACTTTGTAATGAAAAATGTGGAATAAACAGCCAAGTCAATGCATAACACTCGAATATTATCATGCAAGCATCCAGGAAATAACATTTTTTTTAAAAATCGCCCATTCCAATTGTATGAGCAAAAGATATCTTTCACAATTCCTAATTCTAATTTGTTAATTTTTCCAGCCAAGAAAAAACTGAATGGCTGTCTTGTAAAAAATCACACCAAAAACTACTCCCCCAAGAGCCTACATTATACTAGCTCAGCACGAAACTCATACAAAATTCCATATTAGCTTCTTATAGAAAAACGTGTAGAATTACCTATGAGCTGCCTATTATATAACGATATTATGCCAAGTTCTCACATCAACACCACACTCTATAGCACAAGGAATCACAATGTAAAAAACAAACTCCATAAACATGTTTCAGTGCAAAATCCTCATTTAATAACAGCTACTGCTGGGTTCTATGGGATTAGAGAGATATGAAACAGTAACAGGTTCCACTTAACGGTTCAATCACATGCATATTAGCTATATCAACTATATGGCAAATAATTATTGTAAAACATACTTACTTTTTCAGGATCAGTGCACTGAGTGATATGAGCAATCAAGCATTGTGCATGAAAAGCATGACCACATGGAAAAACATAGAAAGGAGCCATAGGCCCAAGAGACGCATAGCCCCTTGAAATACCAAAATCTGCAGCTGTATTTAAGATTCTTCGTTGGCAAACCTAAAACCAAACAAGACAGACATGTAAATATTATTTTAGTTAGCAGATAATTTCATGAATTTTCAAGCAGCTAAAACAATAACAACAACAATAATCACCCTGTTGGAAGGGGGCTGTATGGATATATAGTGTTTCTTAAAATATATTCAAATCATCAGAAAGAGATATACCCCACATTCCTCATCACGCTCAATGATTGCATATCTTTGAGCAAGGGCACCGATATCATTTCTAATATTATCTGCTCCTTGTGTTGCATCATTCATCTCCTCCTTTAGTAGTTCAATTTGTTTATTGTAATCTTCCAGTGATGAACAAATCGCCTCCTGCAGAACAATAGAGATTCATTTACTAGGCAAAAAATTTGATCAATGACGATATATTAAAGGAGCTCAATTGAATACCCTGAAATCATCGATTAAAGCAAAGTCTGGAAAAAAAGGTAATATATCCTCTATCTTCAGGAGGCCATCTGTTTCCTTGAGGAAAGCGATTGCTTTTCGTATATTCTCCCTCTTAGCCCCCTTTTCTTGCCCAACAACATGCTTTGCAATCATGAGCCAGAGTTTCTTCCTTAATTCTTCATCATCTTCAACCTTGTCAGCTTCAGCCATTGCAAGCTCTGGGTCAACCTTCAATACAAAACAATAACAGATTCATGAATATATTAACTCAGTTTTTGTAATAGCTTGGAGGTGCTACTTTTGCAGCTAACTGATATAGGAAATTTCAAACCCATTACCAGATCATGGATGGCTTCCATCAGTCTTGTAAACTTAAATAAAACTGTAAATTAAATAGATTGAAAAAGAAAAAGAAAAAAAAAAAAAACAAATCACAGGATTAATCAGTCACAAAGTCATGAAGTTAGAAACCATTCCCCAACCACAAATTATAAATCAGAATCCAACAGTTACATGATATGTGTTAAATTCACTAACAAACAGAATATCGATGCCAGACCTTGCAAATGGTCCATTCCTTATAAATGATTTTACTGCTTTTATCTTTTGATTTAATGATATGGAAAAAAAAATTTGACTTATGTTTATTAATTAAATTCTATTATTTTTAGGAGCAATATGGGACTTGAATTTCAGGTTTTGGCTTTGTTAAATGAGTAATTTTGAGTTCAAATTGCAACATTGCAAGCTAATTCTGCAATTTTTCTCCAATTTCTCATGTTGCTGGACCAAGTCTTTCATAAATGGTCAAGGAGGTAATTTTAATAAAAATTTCCTCTGTTTTTATTTTTATTTTTATTTTTATATTTCACCATTTGCTTTGGGGACAAGAGAAAGGATTAAAAGGTGGGGGATACCAAGAATGCCCACGTGACTACAAAGGAAAGAGCAGTGTATAAAAAAGCTCAAGGCGCTCTGAAGCGAGAGGGGTTCTGCTGCGCTTAGGTGCGCTCAGTGCGCCTCTTTGAAGTGAGGCGCAGTATATGGGCAGTTAAAAATTTTTGGCTGAAGTTTGCTTCAAGTGCGCCTCGGGTGCGCCTTGTGCACTGTTGGTGCGCCTCAGGCGCTTTTTGTGCGCCTAACCCAAAACGCCTCGCCCAGACCAAATTAAGCGCTCACCCCTGATGGCCTTGCGCCCCAGCGCCTTAGGCGCGCTTTTTCAAACACTGGAAAAGAGAGAAAAAGTGGGGCAATAATGCTTATTATCAAATTTCTATAAGGGTAGAATGGGTATTTGGTGTGTGAGCACATGATTAAAGTTAATGAAACCATAACATAGGTAATTGCTGCAATTAATATGCAACTTCCCAAAAAGGAAAATGGTGCAATTAAAATATACGGAGAAGGTAAATAGCAATTTAGTATCAAAATAAGACTTAGTATCTTCTAAGAGAAATTAATACAAAGGAATAGGGGATGTGGGGTGTGCAAAAAGAGACTCGGATTTGAAACCGGACCGAAACGGAACCGGACCTGATTAGGCCAGATCAGGGCGGTCTCAGGTCCTGGAAAAATATGGATTCTGGTCCAATCTATCTACAGTTTTGGATTCTGGTCCAGTTTTGAACCAGTGTATAGTCCTTGCCTACCATACAAACTATATGTGATAGGCCTGAGAAAACATTCAAACAATAGGAACAAAGATAAGCATGGTAAATAACTATCCCACAAAAGCAAATCAGACAAAACAGTAAAAAAAAATTAAAAATAAAAAATAGTAGAATATCTCAAAATTCCACTTAAGGCATAATACCCAGAGAACAGCTGGGCAAACCAATCTCCAACAGAGCTCTCTCCGCTTTTACCTCCCAAAATTTATATATACAAAACCTGCAAATGCGCTAAAGTGCACTTAACCCAGACCATAAACAATTAGTTTTAAAGAACATGTACCAACCACAATGTAGGAAGAGAACTCTGCCTGTCTCAGAAGGACTGAGCAAGAAGCAAAAAGATCAGGAGAGCCATTAATTTTTTTGCCAAATTTTCATTTATAAAAATTAATCAACAGATTATCTTAGATGTTGAGACTACAGACACATGCAGTATACACAGGTTTTTTATCTTATCACAACCTTGGCATCCCATGAAAGAGGAGACCTTTTTAATCCCTCAAATTGATGGAATTTAGATTGAAAGAAATTATTAACTAAAATCCAATCAATTCATACCCAATTCCTCAAATTAAAGACCAAAATCCAAGCAATTCTTGCAAATTAAACAAAAGAAGGAAAATGTGACTTCTATTCCTTTTGTTTTCATTTATCTTAAAAAACCAAACACACGATAAGAGCCCCTCATTCCAGACCTCCCTACCAAGAGTATTTGAAAACGATAAAGTTCATTAATAGTCAGTAGATCTGCCAGCTTACTTAATTTGACCTCTTCTGATGCAAGAATGATCTATAAATAATTAGGGTACCAACAACAAAAGATAGACATGAAAAATAGACATAGAAAAGTAATGCTCCAAAAAATTAGAATTCTAGCAATTATTTCTTAAACTGGGAACTGTATCACATCTGGTTTAGGTTGAGCGTAAATCAAGAACCCTCGTTCACACAAATTGTCTCTCGCTTACCAGTGCTCCTAGATTTAAGGATTTGGGTTTCTTAAGTATACCTATAAGAAACAATGTAGGCAAATGAATGAAGTGATACAGAATTTGAGTGGCACTGTTGGTAGTCGCTAAAACAATCAAGGCAAGGGAAACATCTGAAAGAACAAAAGTCAGAGCAATACTATAGTCCACCTAAAATCAATATCATGGTTCATTACATGGGGTTGTTGTTCCTGCTAGAATATAACCTGTTTACAGAAAGTTAACCTTTTAAAAAAAGTCCCTTTTATCCTGAAGAAAATGTCACACTTGAGGGTATTAACTTTAATGAGGAAGAATATTGAGTAATTGACGGTAAAAAAATTAACCAATGTCAAGCATACTAATTTTGGGACAACCTGGAATAGATGAGTGACTGGAAAATGTTGGCAGTTGCGAGATATGATTAATGGACAAAATTAAAGCATTCTCCAAAGTAAAGGAAACCATTGGAGTATATAATGCAATGGTGAAAAGTGCAAACATGAGTTACTTGCACTACAGCTACAAAGAAGTAACCACAACAAAAGTTTTTTCTTTCATAATGGGAACTCGCAAGACAATTTTACAAAAAATATATATTGGAATTAAAAACTTATTGACATAGATTGAAATCAAGCACAAGAGAGTTTAAAAGTAATTCATATAATTGTAGCATAGGGGTCTTTTATGTTTAAAAAACCAGGCACCAATAGGTGAGAAACTACACGCATCGGCTTTGTATGAAGCGGCGCATTACAGAAGGAACCTGAGCCATCTTATACACTGATGCAAGAGAAAGTCGTAAGATTTTATTAGAGAGGAGAAAGAATTAAGACCAGAAGTTTCCAGGCCAAATAGGACGAGAGAAGAATGAAAATTTAGAGAGAGAGAGAGAGAAATGTCCTGAAACAGCATAATCGGTGACGGTCACCAGCGGATCTGGTGCCAGACACTACCCGGAATCAATAAAATAACTAGAGACTCGACAAGTTCCATTGCTAACACGACTTGCAAATTCAATCATACAGAACTGAGGGTTTTAATTTATGTTTCAAGTTGATAAAATTTGCCTTTGTTTAAATTGAATTCAGATCTACTCTACCACACACAACTTCACCGAAAGTGTCATGATGCACACATCTTGGCTTACGTTTTGGACTGCACTAAGCACTTTCAATGCGATTTTCACTTCGTCCTGACTCACCTTGTAAAAACTAAGTTTAAGCGGCTGTAAAATGGTTCTTCACTATGATTTTGAGGTATGGACTGCAGGGTAAAATGTAAATCCAAACCAAATTCATCCTTAATTATAGAAAACAGAGACAAAAGTCGAGCAACTAACAAGGCTACAATTCACAATTTTTCATCATTTGTCATGATTTATTGGATTCTAGCTTTTCTGGTGTTCTATTCACTTTCCATTTTTTTTTATAAATTCCATTTTTGGAATACACCTTTTACTATTAGCCTCTCTTACTCCAGGAATATTACCATTTTACTCCAACTCCCTTTTATTTTCTTCTACCCACCCACCTTTTTACTCCAGGATATTAAATTTTGAATGAGAGAAGGGTAACAACTCCTGTGACCAAAAAAGCAATCTATGCAATCATATACTGTTCCGAGAATGTTAACTTAATAAGATAACAGAGATAGCAGAGACGAGGATGCTGCATCATACATGTGGAAGCACTAGAACAGATTAAATCCATGCAGAAGCCATACAAGTTAAGTTTGAGTGTTACCTATAGAAGAAAAGAAACAGTATTCAGGCAGCACAAGAAAGATGATATTACCTGTAAAGCAAGAGCCACAGCTTCTTCGTGCATGGACATCATACCGTATATATGAACACAGGCACGCATCCTCTTCTCCTTAAGGCAAAGTCTTAAAGCATATTTAGGATCATAGAAGAATTCTGGACTGTTTTCCCTTACTTTACTGAACTTGGATTGTAGAAAACGCAGGAGAGCACTATCATCCTCCTGAATTTAAATGTCAACAAGCTAATATTAACACTTCTAAAGACATCCCTCTGTTCCACAACTATACTAAGCTAAATCCATTTTGCTCAGATCCATGATACTACATGAGTATATATGTCAAGATCATTTTCCATATCTTCTTTTATTAGTGGGGAACTGGGAGGAGAGTGTTTTTCGTGTTAAACAGGAAAATAGAACAGAAAAAGTAGCCCAATGCATGAAAAACAATGTCAACTGGCAAAAATCAGTACTGAATGCTTCACGCATTAAATCTTCACAACAGTATCAGGATTCAAACACATAGGAGATTACCAAGGTAAACCCTTGGAAATACACCTTTATCAAAAATGATATTAAAATAATAAAAAAAAAATTAATAAGGATTCACGTGAGCAGTGTTTTTCTGATCTAACAAACATCCAATTCTAAAATAACTGAGTTTGTAGAAGCCTTGTACTAAAAAAATCAGCAAGAACCTGTGGGCCTATGACAATTGGCAAGCAATCAAATACTAGTGCAACGCTTACAACTTTGATTTCAAGCTCCTCGATTTCTACCTTAATGTATACTTCAGAACACTTTACGTGTCCACTAATTAACGAAAAGTAGAAAAAGTTGTTTTATGTTAAATAGTAATCAGATAAGAGTTAATGTACACTATTAACTCATTTTACTATGATTTGTCAAAAAAACATTAGTATGAGCTCTAACCATTCTCCATTTGGTTTAAGACAAACAAGTACCATGGCACACTGAATGAGTCACTCATGTGTCCTATGATCATAAGCATCTAAATGTAACGGAACCAAGGTAAAACTCTGCTCAGCAGATCACTACAATTCTCAGACAAGTAAAAGTATAGGAACCTGTTTAGCATACAAAGAAAGCAGCAGGTTGTGAATTCCAGGATCCTCATTATTCAAACTATGAACACAATACTCCAAATATCTGATCACTTGATGTGTCTCATTCCTGCAAGAAGTTCAACATAAGAAAATACAAATTAGTGCAAAGATGTTTCAAATGATTGTCTGTTAGACATGAATAAATTCAAACCTCTGGCTAATTCATAAACAACTAAAAGGATTTAACATTTCAAAGGCAAAGCAAGAATCAAGAATTTTCCACAATTTAAGTATCTGATAGTACCCGGAAAAAAAAAAAAAAAAAAAAAAAAAAAAAAAAAAAATCTTGTACGTTCATTAACTTTTTATTTTTTTATTTTTTGGAAATCTTCTATTCTACTTTGAAAGGAAAATCACATGAAATTCAAACTATCCATACAGGCAATACTATGAATCAGGAGTTTTACAGTATGTGGAATACTAGTCTTTATATATGTGATGTTGTGACCAGCTTCTTTTATGAAGAGTGATTATAGACAATACAACATGATGACCACGATGGATGAATGAGAATAATTAAAAAGGCGCAGTTTAACAAAAGCCTATCATGTGTTTACTGGTTATTGTACAGCTAAGCAGCCTATGTTTAGTGGTCACTAAAGCAATGGTACACTATATAAGTGGCATACATCATATAACTCATAGCATCGTCTTCCCTAACAGAACTCAGCATTACAATACTCAAGATTGGAGCACCAAGTTAACTTTACTTTGCATGTGGTTCACTTGAATAACGCATCATTGCAGGAATCAGCTTCCTTGGATTAAGGTCCTTTCTTATCATCCATGATTCAACAGTTTCATAAGCGTCGAGCATGATGAGGTCAGGAGCAAATTTGTACTGCAAAATACCACCAAATGTCTTTCAGAATAAGGTAAGCAGAATAAAGTAGTAGATGTCATGAAAGCAACTTATTTGATTACTTATACCATGTGTGAGGGAAAAAAAAAGATCCATTCCTTAATACCCCTTATATGGTTTTGCTCTGTGATCAATTATGGTCTATTGGTAGTAGTGGTCTAGGGGGAAGGGGGAAATATTATGTGTGTACAAATTATTCTTTCAAAAAATATGTTTATCAAAGAACAATGATTGAGCAACATACTCATAAATGAATGCAGATAAATTGACATTTACCTGCAAATGAATGGGAACACCAAGTTTTTCAAGAACTTCCAAAGCTTTCTTTGCCTCTCCTTGCTAGAGATGAAACAACCAAAAAGAACAAACAGGATAATCCTGTTAGAAAGAAAGAAAAAACCAATTTTATATCTATAATAGGCCATTGATTTCTGGTTCAAACTCCTAAATAAACACACACACACACACACACAAAATGCCATCTTAATTAACATAAATGATAAACCCCGTTATTAAGCGCAAAAAGATCGAAAAGATTACTATGTCCTAAAGATATCTTATATCACAAATTGAAATGAGTTCATCTCCTAGCTATAAAAATTGTAATGTCCACACTGCTTTAGACACATTTCAATTAAATTCAATAACTTTCATGTACAAATGAAAAGGCCTCAAAATATATTACTAATAGTCCAACTTACATCTTCATATCTTCTTCTTTTGAGAAGTGCAAGAAGGAACTAGATTGGGAAGGAGGGTGATAAGAAAGAGGGAGACGGTTTGTGGGTGCAACAAACACTGGGGATTATGTTTAACAGAGTTCTATAAGGTTTGGGGTTATGAGGTGAAATTATACAAACCTCAGGGAAATGGTGCTATTACTAAAATAATAAAAGGTTTACAGCTCAACACAAATGGGGGACCTAAGCATATTCCAGAATTTGCATGAAAACTAAATCAAGATCATTACAGTTTGAATCTTTTTGAAGCCAGTTAATACGCAGACACAACCTCAGTGATTAGCCAATAAAGAGAAACTTTTAGGCACTATCTCTTGTTGTGAGACCCTAATTAAGCTCTAGAAATGCCAAACCAATGTGATATGATACTATTGGGTGTACAAAATTGATGTTTGATTCATCCAAAATAGATGACTTATCATTATCAGCAAGGAAACCAAAGACCTTTTCTGACAAGAAAGATGTGTACACTTGCAAACAAGCTAATGAGCCAATGTATAATGATGGCCAACTAGGACTACTAATTACATTTTTGGGAATAGTACCATAAGTTTTATCAAAAGCCAACGCACATCAAGTAGGTCCACTTATGATTAATAAAATACAATTTACAGGTCAAACACCTTATGATTAATAATACAAATTAGAGGTCAACCCAAAGACCCATAACTTTAACTTCTAAGAGATCTTTTCTCCAGCTCCGAGCTACGACAAAAGTTGGGTAAACATGAGGGATCCCACCAATGCTAGTCCACAGCTTAAAAAGTTTCAAGAGTTATGACCAGAAGGGGCTTAATCCACAGTTTTTAGAAGGAAAAAGTAACTTGTGTCACGTAATATATCCTGAAGATACGACATACTGCAACAAAAATAATCAGCATTTCTGCTTTGAAAAATACTAGGAATGCAGTTTCAATGTCTCAAAATAGTTCATCCAGATTCAGGCTTTTATATGCCTAAGCCCTTACATGTCTTCAAGAGAGCTGCATGACAAGACTAATAATGATTGTTCATTAACTGATAGCATTGAATGAGATTGTATAAATACTAAGGCGTAATCAAACTTCACTCTTGCAAATTTGCAATCCAAGGTTGACAATTGATTAATTGAGCCAAACATACAGAAAAAGGTACGAGAAAATATCTCTTGTTATTAGTATGCCTTTGAAAGTTGACAATTGATTTTCCCTAGTTTTAGTGATGATGCAAGTAGTGCTTGTGATGATATGATAGAAATCTGAGTAAGCTTTTTGACTTTTGCAATCCTATTCTATATCATTGAACATCAGATCAGATTTAATGTACTTTTGACAATCAAACTGTTACAAGATTAGAACCATAAGCTAATAATTGCTTGCAGGTGCAACTACTGAACCATAATTCAAAATACATGAAGCTAAAAGAAACAACCACCAATCTGTCCCAAATCCAAGCAAAAGAAATCATCTAGAATGAAATATTCTACTTCAAACGAGGGCCAGGAGGAAATAATAAAACAATTTAATTGTCAAATAAAATTATGTACACTAAAACAGACAATAAGTAGTTGAAAGAAAACCACCTGAATATAATGGTGAATAACAATCTCATACTGCCCCTTCAAACTAGCGAAGTACACCAATTCATCAACCCTACCATAGCTGAGCGAAAAGTTTATAGTTAATAATATAAGCAAAATGCGGTAATGCAAAATAAACAATTAAGTGCATCTATGAATCGATAACCAAACAGTTAAAAATAATCACCCCTTCTAGCAAATGGTGGTCGATTAGGTAGCAAACAAAACAGTAAACACAAGTGTTGAAGATAAAATTTGGACTCCTTGTGTTATAAAGAATAAAACAACAGATATCAAATAAACCTTCCAAACAGGAAAAAAAAAAATTCCCAAAATTATATGGCAACAAGCTAGCAACTATCTGAACGAGAGCTTTCATTTTTTTTTACGTAAAAGCATTAAATTTATCTTGAATTTACCAACTACATTCTAGAGATAGTCCCATAATTACCTCAGCCCTTTGCGTTGCTGATAATCTAATATAGGTACATCAAACAAGAAATCAAGATCGCAAATAATTCAAGACAAACAATTTCTAATAAGAGTGACATAATCACCTGATAAGGCCTTCTGCTTATAGAAGGTTGGCATATGAGCATCTTGCCAACTGGCCCTACCACACACCTTGTAAGAAGTGATTGATCTAATCCCACAAGTCCCCATATTTTTAATCCACTTTTCCACATACTAGATCATTGTAAGATATTAGATATCCAACGAGGTGGCCACAGTGGGCTAGAAACTGGATTTCAGGCAGAAAATTAATGGTTGAAGAAGCTCAACATTTGTATTAAAAGCTAGATATAATAGAATTTAAGGGACATTCAAGCTTTCAAGAGGCTTGATACTCTTACAAATACAAAGGAAACTAAATAATCTTTTTGTGATCTTACCGACCTCTTTACATAACATTTCTTAGTCTAACTGACTTCCTTTCCCTTCAAGTTAATTCTAAAAAATAACTGTGCATTTCTACAGTAACCCTCCCAATAGGCCAACCTAGTACAGCCTAGTAGTACTATGATACAAATGCAGATGATCAAGGCGGTTACAAAATCTTGGCACTGCCATTTTCTAATTTGATTGGACTTTGTATGGAGTTAAATAAAAGAGTAGCTTTATTTCTTGTTTATAAATAATAAAATTAAAAAACAAAAATCTCCTAGCATGGACTCCTTGTTATTATCGCTACATTAATAGGTTTTTTGTTTTATTCAGTGAATAGATGGAGCCTTAGGTCTGCAATCTGTTACCTCAATTAGTGGATCAATTAGTTTGTGGATGGTAAAATCTTTTTATGGGTTGCTTTGCATCGTTGAGTTTTTGCTTGTTTATAACCTTGGCAGTTAAGATTGCCACACATTAATTATATGTTAAGCATGATTTAGGTTTCTTAAAACTAGTCATTCCTTGTCAGTTTATAGTATCCTTAAACATTATCAATACATGTGTCAGTTGTGTATTTTATACTCCGTAAACTCTATCAATTCAGCAGTTACATAACGAATTGGCCGCTCTGCGAAATCCCGTTACAGAGACCCACAACTGAAACCATGCCTTTCTCCACACTTGGTCTATCACATGGTCATACATCACATAATTTTGAATCGAAACTTTAGAATGTTTATTTACCCATCACATCCGTTCTTTTAATTATATTATATTGACCAAAAATATTTTGATACTTACTTATTAAACTAAAAAGTCTTAAACTCATAAACATGAATTTTTCGATACTATTCACACCGTGAGCCACAAGCCATTCTATTCACTCGTCACAAGCCTTTTCTGCAACAACACAACTTTTACTGCAATCGTGACGAATTCATGATTTTTTATTTTTTTTTTCTCTATGGTAAGGAGGCATGAAATCATCAATTTTTGCATTGTTCAATGGCCATTTTTTCCCCATAAAAATTACATATTGTTGAAGTTAATTTGATTGTTCCCTCTACTAAGCTCATTTACAAATACAATATGCTTTCTTTCGGTAGAAAGAGCATAAGACTATGTGACAAATTACATGACTTTCCCTAAACCTCTTTTTTTTTAAGTGGTGCACATCACATTTTTGGAAACTCTCCACCATTTTAAATCATATTTCTCTCTCCTTTGGTGCCCACTATAACATTTAAAATTATTTCCCCCACTTCTACATTCATTATTTCTTCTCTCGTCTCACATCCTATTATTTAATTCTCTAACAAACCTCTTTACCTATACACCCTCTAATGATAGGATCAGTGGTCAGTAATCTTCTTTGGTTACATTATGGGAGCAATGTTGTATGTTGCTTTCCATTTTTACGGGTAACCCTTCTTTATAACATTTCATCTGTTGTTGAAAGAAGGTCCTTTTGGTCTTCTAATTAATTTGCAGTATAGATACTTAGAGAGTGTGTGCCTTACACATGAGCAAATAAAAGTAAGTCTATTCTAGTTCACATCATATTGCTACACATCAAGACAAAAAATTGAGCGAGACAACTGCATAAAGAAAACAAAAATATCAGAACTTCACATATAAAGAATAAGATTACACAGTAAATTCCACAACTTTATATACAAGTACAAAAACTTTACCTCTCTAATAACATCAATGTGGTGGCTTCATCCAACACATCCTTAGAATCACTTAGAAAAGCACGGAATTCTTTGATAAGTGACCAATACTCGGAATTATGATCACCTGAAGTATCATCTTCCAATAAAAGCCGATTGATCTATAGATTGACAAATTGCATAAGATAACTGATATATATATATATAACAAATTTATAGGAATTAGTTTGGCCACTCAGCACTCACTACTTCTAACCATGGGATGATATATTACAAAGTACCCAAAATAAAAAAGCTTTTCTACATATCATAGAAAACAAATACAGAGTCCTTGATACAAAACGTCAAAATTCAAACCTTCTAATGTTATGGGTAGATGTTGCTTCAAAGTTTGTCAATAAAAATACAAACACTACCCATCAGAACAGAGACACAAGGTTCTCCATTTATTATTAATTAAAAAGGCATAAAAAATTTCTATTTCACCTGGTACCTAACAAATTTGATCGATATGTTTTTGCATTATGGATAACTTTAAGGTTATTTGATTTTGTAATATTAATTAGAGAGATAATGAAAATGTTGGGAGTTTTAATTTTATTGGATTGGATCAGTTTTCACTACTAACTCTGGTTAATAATGTCCTTAACATTTACTTTTTGCAAAAGAATTAAAGCAAAGGAGAGTGAGTGAGTTGAATTGTATAGCTATTATGGAATAAGGGGGTCAAGTAGTAAATGGAATTTGCCAAAAATGGAATGAAGTAGATATGTTGAAACTTTATGAGAGACTAAAATGAAATATGTTAAAAACATTATGAACAAAGGCAGTACATCTGTACATGCTTTAGAGGGATCAGTGAAATTAACCAAGTGGGGTTAGCAGTTCTCTTCCCTTTTTTTTTCACTCCCTAATGGGAAGTTGTGGTTCATTAGAAAACCATCCCGATTTGTTAAAAATTTATCTTTGGTTCCTACTTCCTACTTTCCTAATATATAAACATAGCAACCAACATTTATCTGATGGTCACTATAACGAAGTTAACACCAACATTTATCTGATGGTCACTATACAGAAGTTAAAAAAAAAGTTTTAATAGTCTTTGAGGAGTTTAGTCAACGAGATATAGTTAGTTTCAACAGGAGTACCAAAGAAAGGTTACTCCACGATAGTTTTCAAGATTTCTTGCACACCATTTGGATAAAAATGAATACAAGTTACCATGTAGAAAAGTTCAAAGTATTCCTGGCACTATGTGGAATGTTTAAATTTTAACAAAACTTGTTTAGAAAGGTTATAAAAAAATAATAATAAGGCTGCCAAGGGAAGACATCACAAACCTTATCCAAGTATAATTCAGTGGCCCATGTGGAAATCATCGTTATTTGGCATTTATCATCTTTTGAAAGACTGTCAACTTTCCACAGCAAAAAGGTCCTTAAAGCATCCTGCAATGCAGAAAACCTTGACAATTTATACTCATAATTCATAATTTCATATGCATAAGATGATAAATTGTAAGTTACGAAATAGTGAAAAGACGGTCACTTTTAAATATCACTTAAATCCAAAGTCATTGATATCATCCCAAACAGTACATTTATTTACTTAGAGAATATTTTATAACTGGCCATGTCACATATTTTCAACGGTCATTCATATAAACAAAGAATAAGATATTTTCGTCATGTTTTTAATGTGGACTGCAAACATGGAAATTGGAAACTATACCGTCAGCTATATAACAAGACAATGTAGTTTTATTTTTTGGATTAAAAAACAATTCATACATACATTACAGAAAACAAAATACAATGTAAGATGATGAGTTGTCCTCAAAATAAAGACGTCGAATAAGTAATTCTATTGCACAGTAAATCCCAAAATAAAACAGTTCCCAATGAAATGTTTGCACTCCATTCAAACACCACAGAACTGCCGTTAATGCATTCCACTAAAGCATCTTCTTCTCCTTGGCCCCCTCAATACAACCAAAACGATCCCACAGCAGCACCATCACAGTACACGGTAAGTCCCAAGACTCCACACTCTCAGTTATAACCCAGCTTTTAAGACTACACACCAACCTCAAATTGAAGGAAGACATGCATGCATGACTACATAATATCTCTGCACATCATGAACATATACACAATTGCTTCTAAGGCATAAGTAAACTATGTTACTCAGATCCTGCTAAAATGTCAAAATTGGCCCATTCACGTACATGTCCAGGTGTGAGTAAGACCATTTTGTGAAATTTCGCATAGTTTTAGCTTAAAATGAAGTGTTTAAGTAATATATATCAGCTGTTAGATGCAATTGTAACTATGAGAAGGCAAAATTCACCTGTTCATTTGCACTAATGAACTTCAAAGTGATTTCTTCAAACGAGAGTATATAATTGATCTGCAAAAAAAATATCCTGTTAAAATCACCAAACTAATTGAAGAAACAATTTGAATAGCTAATTATAAACGTAATGAAGCCCACAAAAAGTCTTACCCCAAAGATTTTGAACTCATCACTGATGATAGATAATTGAAGACGTGCATTTCAACTAGCTCTAAATTGCAATGAGATAATATCAACACCCCTGCACCTCACCCTACCCCACCCCACCCACCCACCCACCCACTACAAACTCTAAATTGGTTTTTATCAAAATGTTGTCACTAACATTAACTGATCAATTACGCATGATTCCAAAATTTAATGTAGTAAACTTCTTTTGTTTACACATAATGGACGCCTAAAATGTAGGTGAGAGTATTACTACTGTAAAAAATTTAGTGACAGCTAGACTGATTGCGAAACTGATTATCCATCTTAGATGATTTGTGGATAGATTATGGAATAGCTGAAAAACATATATTATAAAAAGGAAAAAGTAGCATACACTCCAATATGCATGGCAATAAAGAAGCTTGACAGAAAATTACTAATGATCCATAATCAATAAAAAATACCTCAATATGGGCTTTAGCAGTGTGATCGGGTAGACTTAGGCCCTATTTAGTTCACCTTATTTCAAAAACTTATTGCTTATTGTATTCGTTCAGACCAAACAAGACCATATCAGATTAATACAAGTTACATTTAAATGAGGTTGTACCTCAAGTGACATACTAAATCCCAACTAACTAGATTTTCGCAACAAAATTATGTGCCTTTCCCTCATTGATATCCCAATCTTTTGTGCAATAACAACAAACTTACAGAAAAAATACAGTGATGAAAGATCAGTAACGGTCACACCTTAAAAACTCACTTCACCTCCCCCACCCCCACCCCCAAAAAAAATGGATGAGAATAAAGATGCTCCAAAGAAAGCTACAAAATCATATCTAACGATTCAATGTGTTTAAGGGTCTTTAAGAGAGAATAAAGGATGAACAGGCCAAAAAGGCAATAACTCCCAGGTTTCATCTTATGAACAACCACCTTAAAATCCTAGCTAACACCTAATTGAATCTTATCAAGAACTCTCTTTTTGAGGTTTGACTGCAAACAAATCTTAAAAATTACTTGTTAGATTTAAATCATAGACTTCCAAGCATAACAGTTGGCGTATTAGACATTATTTACAGGCCAAATAACATAGGAATCCAACTAACCTCATAACCTGAGCCCTGAGGTACATGTAAAAACTTAACTAGATCACCAAGTAATTCACATGCCTAAACAAGCCTTGATGAGAACAATGCAAAGAAATATTACAGTAAAAACAATTAAGCAATCCACACCCTACATTGCCAATGGCAGGATCACTTGGAGGTGGTCATTTTTTTCTTTCAATGTAAAATTGATGCAATCTCACCCCAGCTATATTCATTTTCTGCTAAATGGTTAGTCTTGTTCAGCCTAATCAAAGTTGAAAACAATATGACTTTTCTGAAGTTCACTGAAAAATCAGAAATGAAATTACGAAAAACCTTTGCAAAGAAAGATGCAGCTCTCAGAAAGTCCTTGGTGGAGAAAGCAACTTCAGCCTGCAGAATAGAATAGACTTGACTAAGATGCTTGGAAAACAAAATGTATTAATTAGTGATGACTACAACTATTATCCACACTGAGTCACCAATCCATGCACATATGCAAGACATTGACTAGTATATCCTAATGCGAGCTAACCATGTCACCTGTGCTAGATAGACTTGATCTCTCTGCAATGCATCACGACAATTTGCCAAAGCTGCTGCATATTCCTTCATGTCCAAATAAACTTTCCACATATCTCGGCCTTCATCATTAACAGAAACCTAAGAAACATATTGATCAAGATTTAGAGTATATATGAACAGAGAAAGAAAATCAATGGTCAAGTGTAGATGAATGTTTCCATTGAAGATACCTGAAAGATAGAGTTCTGGTCGTATGCATAAAACAGACCAGCAGAAGCATCACTACAAAGACCTAGAATGCCCTTTGATGATGACTCGGATGTTAGGTGAAAGTGAAGTTCCTCAATGATCTGTTCACTAATTCGGTTCACAACCTGCAAGACATTGTAATAAACAAGTCAAATAAAAAAGAAAGAAAAAATTATTATTCATTGAAACAATGAAAAACCATGAAAACCCGAGATTTATAACTTTCCCAAGTTATACTATGGTCCTTAACATTACAACAACAACAACAACAACATCAACAACAAAGTCTTAGTCCCAAAATGATTTGGGGTCAGCTAACACGTATCATCATAAGGAATTGTCCGATATAGTAAAAGGGACACTGAAACAGGAAAATTAACAATAAATTATGACTCTTCTGGATGCAATGAAACACCACATCATAGTAAATCATAGGCCCTAGGCCTCTATAAGGTTTACAAGGCTAAAGTCGGAGGTTGGAGTAAATGTCCACATTATTACCTACACACTTAATTGGAAGAAATTAAACAATTCATTACCTCATATTATTACAATTTAGTTTTATTTTTATTTAAAAAGAAAAAATTCATTACCTCATATTATTAATATTTAAAAAGGAAAAAAAAAAATATGACATTTGTTTCAAATAGCCTACATCGCTTTCCTTTTGGAAATTTATAAAACATGCAAGTCACAATGAACTACAAATGGACTGTCATAAGTCACAACTACAATACATTCTATCCCCTTTATTACTTTTTATGTTCCTATTTTCACTACTCATATCAGTCATATGTGTCAATGCACATCATTAACTATTAATATCTCTTGATTTCATATGAGCAAAAAATACAATATTTGGGACTCCTAAAGCACTCATTGAGATAAATCAAACAAGAGGTCCCACAAGACAATTAAATTTTTTACTTGCATGTCAGAAAATTTTCAAAAGATTCCCTCTAATTGTTGCATGATTTCAAACAACAATATCAAAAAGAAACAAATTAAGTTTAAATTACCCGTTTAACCACTTCTAAATCTAATCAAATCCCTGTTCTTTAATATCCTTAAAACCCCTCTCTCTCGAAACAAATTGAGTATTTATTACCTCTCTCTCTCAAAAGCATCACTTACCTAAAAATTAGGTCACCATGATCATTAGCCACCACTCCCCTCCACATTGAAACCAGTCACCGTACCCAATTACCACCAAACTCAATGAAACACCACCCTTCCTTCTCAACCATCACCCTAAACACCGTAAATCAGCACTTAATCCTATGCTATTCGAATCCTTCATTTCACCCAAAATACCCATGTTCGATCCACGACACATAAATAGGACACTCTAACCCTTTGTTTCTGACAAAAATCATAAAAAACAAAAATTAAAAAACAGCCAGGTCGGACACATGTGTTAAGCATGGGTACATAAGTCCAAGTAACATAGACTTAACCCATTGAAACCACAACCCACAGAAAAGTGGAAACCATCCTTACCTTCACCCTCATTCCTACCACACTCCCCCTAACCATTAGACCCATAACTCAACAACAATCCCACCCCCACGACCTCACGGCCCACTACCGTCGCCAACAGGACTCAAAATCACACCCTGAACTCCTCTTTCTTCATTATCTTCACATCTGAACTACTTTTCTTTCCCATATTCTCCTCTCTAGACCTGAATAGGAACAATGTGGTTGGGTGGGGTCAAGGAGGAGGTTTGACATATGTGGAGGAGGGAGAGAGCATAAGAGGTGGACAATTTCAAGAAAGCGTCTGGTGATGGTAATGGCTTCTTAAAATGCATGTAGAAGACTATGTTGCAAGTATTTTGCAACAAGAAAATACAAATTATCATTTATCAATTTATTTTGTCATCCTCTAAGATAATACAACCCTTCATCAGAATCTAAATAACTCCATAATCTCATAACATCCTAAAGATGTTTCGCACCTCATAATTTTAAAAGAGCTAAAGAATGTAAGCCTTAGATAACTTGGAATTATTACAAGATCCAATCTACAACAATCGCCATAGTTGGGTTTATTCTAATTTATTTATAAGCCTCCACGGTGGGCGTAATACATGAAACTGGGAAAAAGTTCGCATCATTCATATTAATATTATTTTCATATAATTTAATATTATATATTGTAAGGAATGGAGGAGGAAGGTTTTTGTCGATGACTACAAAGAATAATCACTTTTGGTTCATGTAGCCGACCCCACTTATGGGATTAAGGCTTTGATTGATTGATTAAAATAACAATATTAAGACAAAAGTTTGAGAGACTGTCTATGCCATCCACTCTAACACAAAGCTGAAAAAAAATATAAGGAGCTGTGTTACCCCGACACTCCTCTCAACCCAGAGTATCGCGTGTCGACTCGACACGACACGCGATACGACGCGCGACGCGCAACTCGCGTACCAGAGAAGTGTCCCAGAGCGAGTGTCGGGATCCATTGATTTTGAGTTTCTTAAGCTGTTGAAGCCGTTGATGAATAAGAAATTTAAGGGTTAAAGAGAGAGAAAGGAGGGGATAAATAAAAAGTAAATGGAGGACAGCTGTTTGACTATCTTTTGCACAGCTGAATATTTTATTTTTGTAAAATTCTTCTCACATGACTAAAAAGTAAAAAGGATAAAATACTATAGTACTTTTTGCTGTTTACTGACTTACCTTTTCATGGCTAAGGTGGAGTAATGACAGCTGTTTTCCATATATTTTTTGTGTACTTGTATAAACTACTGTACGTATTTGTTAACTACTACTACTACTTGCTCTCTTACTGTTTACCCTTTTATTTTTTGGGTATAAATGATAATATTATAGATATTATTTTCTTTTTTAACAAAGTATCTGAAAAATTTCCCGACACTTTATATGTCAACCGTGTCTAAAAAAATTAGTCAAGACATCTTTTGACTGTATCCCCGTATCGACTATTTTTTGGATCGGAGGATCCGATCCTCCGATCCCTACTTGGATACAACACCCAAACTCGAGTCTGTGCAACATAGATAAGGAGTGACTCTTGCATGAAAGCACAAATATTTCTAGATTGTAAATCGTCACCAATAGGCACTAACCTACCTTAACTTTATTACCAACAAGAAGCAAGAAATGGTATTCTGAGATTGCCAAAGAACTTGGTTTAACTGCTTCAGCACCATCAAATAACTTAGAATAATCCAGCAGTGCCTTATTCTCCACAAAATTTTCATCTCCATCCTGTGAACTGACCACAATATTCATATATTAGTTTTTACAATCCATATCACAACAACTAATGTCTATCTGGAAATTTTAATTTTATGAGCTATATCACCAGTTCACCACAGCTTATGTCTAGCAATGAAATACATAGAGGCAAACAAGAATTGTCTCAGCTCTCAGGCAGAGACAAAATATGCAAACTATTGGAAAATGGTATAATAGACAGAATATGAGTCAGACATAAATAAATTATATGTTTGAGAGTTACCTATGGCTTGCTCCAAAGTTCAAGTCACCATGGTAGATTCCTGCTCCTGAGAGCCAAGCAAAATGAATTGCTCTTTTCTGCTTTATAAAAAAATGCAGCTCACTGCAAAATAAACCACACAGTCACAATCAATTAGATCAAAGATGCTTATCATTAAGAGCAGGAATTATTAATCAAAACATGCCTGCACAAATTCTAATAAAAACAATATTTAATATACATTGCGAGAGAATCACTTTCAGCACTGCCAATAAACAAGCTGTTCTCTATAAAAAATTAAAAATATTACCCAAAAAAAAAACAGAAAATAGTCAACGACATAAAAAACAAAATCAGCGCGAGAAGCACAAGACAGAACAAATGGCAATGAGTCCAGAAGCACAACATGATCTTATAACACATGAACGCACATGTGTGAGATACAAAATAAAAATCTGTGTAAAAACAACAGGTAGTAGGATTCTAACAAAATAATGTAGCCCCAATCTCATTGTGCCTTAGTGCCATTTACTACACGAGTACACGCATCAATCCACCTCTTCATAAATACCTTGCCTAGGCCATTTAAGCACTGTGGCCTTCAATTTCAAACACTAAGCAGGGGTAAGTAAGACATTGAAGTGTGGAAGTACCATAGTGAGCAAACTTCAAGAGGTTATTATTTTTTGAGCTTACCTACTGAGATTTTCACCTGGAAGTTCCATGAAGCGCACTGCTCGATCTTGGTAACCCAAGAAGACACTCTGCATATAAAATGTAAAATCGCAAAGGAATAAAACAACACAGCAAGAAAGAAACCATACCAAAGAACCAGAATATATAGCACAAAAAGATGAGAAGAAGAAGAAACACTAATGCAGCCCCCTAATTAAGAAGGAAATATAGTCAAGGACAAAACTATTAAGATACAAGATTATTAATTTTTTACACCCCCCATTCTAGAACTTCCCCCCCCCCCTCCCAAACACAAACAGGGTGAAGGAGATATTTGAATGCTAAAAATATATACTCCCTCCGATTTTTTTTAATTGCAACTTTTGCTATTTTAGTCCGATCAAGATTAAATGCAACTTTCTATTTTATTTCTATTTTGGGTAAACAAAAACCTTGAAAATTACTACTTTACCACTACTTTACCAAGTGGTGGGCCAAACTTTCTCTCTCTACACACTACTTTAAAGTATTTTACCCACTACTTTACCAAGTGTTGGGCCAAACTTTCTCTCTCTACACACTTTAATCACCTTTAATTAACCCCACTACTACATACCCCTTAACTTTTGCCTCGTGAACCGCAATACACACTAAAGTTGCAATTAAAAAAATTGGAGGGAGTACATAACTTCTAAGATAAAAGATTATACTTTAGAGTCTAGCGTTTCAAAGAAAAGGAGCATACAAATCTCACATGCAAGCCGAGAAGTATATGGAGTAGAGGGGTACTAAAGATTGGTTAAGAAAATTGTTTGAGGAAGTTAGCATGAAAGCGAAAGCACTGAACATACTATCAAGTCAACTAGTAGAGGGGTACTAAAGAATGGGTAAGAAAAATGTTCCACTCTTTTTCCATTATAAATGTTTGGATCACAAATCATATTCATCTCGATTTTGATGAATTAGATTATCCCTAAAACATTAAAGGGGTGTTGGGTGGTATAGCCTTAGAATCAGGATTGAACCGGATATAATAGGGTGAAATTTGATTTTGTCTCCCATGTGTATTAGGAGATTTCTTAAATATTTTGTTTTCCTTTTATTTGATGCCTTCAGTATATGTTTGAGCCAATACCACTTAGGTGGTGGTTAGTTCGAATAACTATGAGAGTAGTGAGACAATTGATAGAGAACTATGAGGATAAGAAGAAGGATTTACAAATGGTTTTCACTCATTTAGAAAAAGCCTTTGATAAGGTACCAAGAGAAATACTTTGGTGGGAATGGTGGGCTATGACAAGAATGGCATTTGATGTATCTATATTGACATCATTAACATGCATGAGGAGAACATCATTAATCATACATGAGGAGTACATAGCCCTTTTCTTTTTGCCTTAGTCATGGATGAATTGATAAGTTCGATAAAAGATGATGTGCGAATGTACCATGGTTCATGATGCTTGCATTGTGTTAATTGAAGAGACGAAAGGTGTGGAAAGTAAGTTGGAATTGTGGAGACACACTAATCTTGAGGCTTTAGGCTAAGCAAAAGTAAGACAAAATATTTGGAATGTGAGTTTAGCTGAGGTTAGAAATAGGGAGATACCTTAGGTGAAAGAATTGTCATGACCAATATCCATACTCTATTATTCAAAAGGTTGGGGAATTGAATGGAGACGTAGCTCATAGAATTAAAGCAAGTAGAGGGCTCCAAGGGTTTTATGTGACCCATATGTTGAACGGAAAATTCTACATCAGTAATAAGGCCTACATTATTGTAAGGTACAAGATATAGGGTTTTAAAGCATTGAGATTGTAGACACCAAAATTTTGTCAATTTTAGGTGAAATTTATTTGAATAAGGAGATAATAACAAAAAATATATGATAATATCTTCAAGATCCCATAGAATATACTATAACTATATTATATTCTAACCTAGGACTCCCTATACAAATTACATAAAAGAAATGTGTCAAATCCACTCCCTAATTGAGTGAAGCTAAAAGCCTACCAAGTTAATATAAGAATGCTTTCTCTAACCAATACAGGAAAACATTCTTCTAATTATATTAGGCTTGTTCTAATTACACTTAAGACATCTCTAGTCCTTTGAAAGGAAGTACCAGTGCACCATGGTTCGACACCACTATTCAAAGTGTTTTTCCAACCCTTTATTTACATGCTGAAAGCCCCTCTAGCCCCTCCGTTATTGGATTACATGAGAAAACAAAACAATATTTTCTTTAATTAGCATGCATGGAGGAGAGCTGCAAACAGGCAACGAAAAATATTATTATGTAAACAAGTAAACCTAGAGGTAGGTTTATTCAAGAGTAGTCTTTTTTGCTCATGACTATTTTTTGCTCAGTTTGCTCAATTGGAGCTACCCTAATGAGCAGATAATACCCTTGGGTACACCCACAAACCAGTACATAATGGCGGTTCAATGTCAAGGGAGGTGAGATAAATTAATATCAAATACCCACATTACTTTAGGCATGAGTAAGATGTTGGTATTGGGGAGTTAAAGTTGTCCCCGTCAGAACCGCCGAGGCGCAAAGAGCTAGGGGCCATGCTCCTTTTGTGGTCTAGGCGAGGCGATTTTGGTGAGGTGCGCCTCACACCCCCGAGGTGCACAAAGATTTTTTTCAGAAATTTTTTATTTTTTATTATATGCGCCTTACTTCAATAACGCGCACCAAGGCGTAGGGAACTCTGAAACGCCTTGGTGCGCCTTGAGCCTTTTTATACATTGGTCTCCATCAAGGATAATAGGGTGTTAATAATTTATAAATGTTACCCACCCACTCCATCCATTATATTTTTTTAGAAAATAAGCAATTAATAGACTTATAATTATACCAATTGACCAAAAACATTAAGTTACCTAAGAAACATAATATGCATTATTTTAACCTGATAACAAAACTTTTTAAATGGCCCAAGTCTAAGTTAACTTGCCAAACCCAAACCCATACCCACTTGATACAACCGACCTGTATGGGGAGAGCCATCCTCCACCCATTGGGATCCTTAATTGCAAAGTACCAATCACTTGAGAAATTTTAGAAGTTTAAGAGAAAGAAGAGTGAAAAAGGAGAGAGCAAATATACAAATAAATAAGGGAAAACAAAAAATTCGAAAGAGACAAATATCTTTCCTAGGAAATTGAGAGGTAGATTGCATTAATGTCTTAAACCCTACCTCCAATGACCCAATTCCTGTAAACGTATAAAGCCGCCTAGGAGTGACAGCCATCACATAATACCTAGTACCTGTGCTAATGCTAGCTGTTTCCATCTGCACAAAGTCAAATCACAAAATCAAATCAGAAATTCCCAAATACAAGTCTAGCTTTGAGTTTAAAAGTTTCAGAACTTTTAATTTGGAAAATCAGCTCCAGTCTGCCCTTGTTCAATTCATCTTTGAAATTAGGGAAACTTTGGTTCATTTATGCTTTTCTACAAATAAATTTTATAAAGTAGATCTGTAAAGGTAAGTTCCCATTTTAATACATCTTCACTAAATCTAATAAGAGCATAGCTTAAGAAAGAAGACCAAGTTAGCATTGAAACTCAAAAAATCAGCATGCCCATGGGTGAAGGTGGTATCTACAACGATGGTATTAAATCTTTGAGCACATCACCATATCGCGACCGCATTGTAAAGGATTTTGAGCTTACTGTGACCAAAATGTTAGGCCACAACAGCCCCATACCACCCTCATTGCTCGCGAAAGTGGTTCCTTTATTGTACAGCAATAACAAACAAGATCTAAAACATATCTGCAAGAATGCAACCCTCACATGATAGTAATCTTGGTCATTCTAGAGAAAATGTAAGAGGTGGGCCAGCAGGAAGTGGAGATGATGTGTCACTCTAAGTTATATTGGAGGCAAAGACACAAGTGGTGGCCCTAGTGATGATTCCGAATGTTTCACGTGTGGTTACCGACAAAGGTTGGTGTGGCTTTGTGGACGATAGATCTTGGGTGGAGTTGGGTTTAGGCAGGTAGACCAATTAGAAAAGTATTCAGAAGTAGTGGGGTGCTGGAGGATGTGGATCTAGAGATCTAGTAATCTAATATGGCCAACACTGGGAAGCTTGCCACAAAAATTTACAGAAATGGAGTGTGGGAGATCTTTTATGGAGTTATCCTTGATTCAGGAAAGAGTCCAGAAGGTTATACAAAGGGAAAATTCTTAAATGGTCAACAAGTTGGCATTGGCAAGGAGGCCAGGAACACCACCTCTTGACCGTCTTTAAATCTAACATTATTGAATGAATTTTACTGAATATTTAGTTTGCAATGGGACTATCAAAGGCAATTGTTTTAGTGCTGCTTTTATAACATTGCTTAAACAACCATATATCAATTTTTCCTCCAAATTTCCATCTTCTTTGTTCTTCCTCAGATCTATGCATATGATAATTATAAATTTCAATAGTTGATTTATTTTTCATTAGACATTTCACAGCCATGTAATTTTTCAAACACCAAGTCACCAACCCTCCTCTTCTAAGTTGACTATTGTGTGTCATTGGCCTAGATAGCAAAACATGCGAGTTATTGATAAAAGCTCACTTGAAAGTTCTTAGATGTGTTGTATGCAACAAACTTCCCTCAAATAGTAATTCATAGGTATGAGGTGGTAAGGTCCAAAACACATATGAAATACTCAGCAAATATAGCAACTAAAAAAGACAGAAGACGTGTTACCTGCAATCCCATAAAAGCTTCAGGAAGTTCTGAAAGTTCATACAGAAGTTTAATGTACTTTTCTCTTTTATCCTTCTCATCCACAGCCATCTCATGAAGCTGACCATTATTAGTACCAAGAATGATTTCCTTTGTGGAAGCTACATTCAAATTAAGAGAAATGAAATTAGAACTGATGTATTCAAAATACCAGATAATATAAGAAGGAACCACATCTGAACCAACACACACTTACCCCATAAAGTAACAAGCAGAATAATATTTCATAAATAAAAGACTTCTAGAAAGTAGAAACATATAATAAAGTATTAGGAACTGTCCAAAATGAACTTTGATAGAGTAGAATGAAACTTATTCAAGTTAACTTGTACATGAAGGCATAGTGCTAGCATGAAACGCTTATAAACAAGAGGTTTTCCCTTGTGAATAGCTTGCTTGATTGAAAAACACTAAGCACTAGTTGACTTACTCATAGGAATTAGACTATATGGTTCACCATACTTTTTCTCTTATCAAATTTCTAGTCATGTCATATCTTTTTTTTTTTTTTTATTTGGTTATTTCAGTTCATACAAACCAAGAGAGGGAGGAACAGAATAAGGACAAAAGAGAGATACTTAGGCTAGAAATTTTTGGTACAATGAGAAAAGAAATCAATATTTTTATAATCAATATTTAATTATCTTTTGCTACAACATATTAATTGTATTTAAATGCTCAAGACCTAAACTTTTAATACAATTATTCTAATGTAGCAAAAGATGATTTATATGCTTTTTTGCACCAAAAATTTCCCTCGCGTCCATTTAAAACCAAATGGTTGACGCACATTATTCAAAAGGACTTCTATTTAGCTTATACAAGTTTTCTTAGTGGTTCGGAAGACTCTGTAGCTAAGGAATGGTCCTTTTATAGGTATGAAATTAAAGGGTGACCAGATTTCAGAAGCAGCATCGGCAAGCCTAAAAAGCTAGCCTCTTGATGCCTATACAAGCCTATATATGCATATTTAAGTGATTGTTTAATCCAGCTGAGCATCATGGGTTACATAAGGTAGCTGGTAAGACTCCCCTAGCATTGAGTATAGAGCCTCAATATATTACTGGAACAAAATAGCTATTGGCTAAGATAGCAACATTTATGCGGAGAGAATCAAGTGAATTAACTAAGCAATCTGCACTCTATATCACGCCGTATATGCATTGATGAAATGTTGATATCATAAGAGCCTTAGATTTCATTTAGAATGTTTGCAGTCATTTACAGGAGCAATAACAGTTGCAAACTATTAGAACTGATTTTTCAAACCAGATATATTACACATATCAATTTCCCAGGTTGTACGAAAGACTCCAACTTATTCCATTTCAAGCTAGCTCTCAAATGATATATCAGATATTATCATCAAATGATTTAACAGAGTACACATATTGAGGGCACAAGAAAGCTAATCAAACAGCAAAAAAATTCCTTAATAAAATGAGACAAATATTTGTACCAAAAAAAAAAAAAAAAAAAAAAAAAAAAAAAAAAAAAAAAAATCTACCTTCCGTAATGTGTTGTCGATTCCAAGCAACAGCATTGACAACAAGGCCTTTTAGTTTACTCAAGGCACGAGGTTTGCTCCATTTCGCATGAATGTAGAATGTTTCAGCACCTCCATCACCAACAATTGTCGCAATGCAGTGACTCCCGCCAGGATCCACAAAAACACTGTGGATAGACTGATCCCCGGTTCGACCACCACAGAGATCAATACCTAATTCACAGCTGATATAAGAACTCCAACTAGACTACTTATGCCTTTAATTTAATAAAATGCATTCAATTACAATATCATGAACAATTCAATCATCAACTAATCGTCTAATTCCACAAGTCAATCAATCGTCAATCAATCGAAGCCTTAATCCCATAAGTGGGTCGGCTACATGAACCAAAAGTGATAATTCCACAAGTATTGCATCTAAATTATACTTAGTACATAATATTCACAATCATCATTCCTCCTTGGCAACTAACACTAATATCATTTTCACAAATTGTCTGAAATTGTTGGACATTTTCTAAATTACATAAACTAATTTAAACTTGATTGAAATTATAAGACATTACTATATAAATTTGTAAAAAGAAGTAAGAAAACAAACCATAGGAATCTCCGAGTCCAAAATCATGTCGGATGATCCAGCCTTTGCTGGTACCCCACATGGTGACATCATTACCAGCAGCCATACAAGTAACAACTCCATGGCCTTTAGCAGCATACCTTTCAAGCAAATCTACCGTAAATACTTTGCTCCCTGAATCCATTTTTGAACATGGATTTTCCTCAATTCCCTAAACTAAAATTCAGTGGGGAAAAAATTAATCGAGGATTAATTCAGATTGTGAAATACTGACAATAAACCGCTGCATTTGACATTTAACCAAGAATAATCAAAATTGGTGAAGAATTAAGCAAAAATGGGGCAAAACCCAGTGTATTTGGAAAAATTTTCTCTTACTTTTTGCAACAATAACAGAAGAAATCGCTTGATTTCCAGATTTGAGCAAAAAACGCAGGATTAATGGAGAAACCAGGGACTTCGTTGCATCGTTGCCTTCGTTTTGATGGTTGGCGAACGAAGGGTCTTCGTTGCAGGCTACCTGATGCTCGTTGCAGTGGAGAAATGGGAGGGGCCGATTGAGTATGGGAGGGAATGAGTTGGAGGAGACGAATGAAAATAAGTTGCCGAGTAGGAGGTTCGTGCAAAAAAAAAACAATACCCGACCCGATGACCTGCTGACCCGCAAAATACCCGACATGTAATTGGAATTTTTTTTTCTTTTCGGGTCGAGTACCCAACCCGTGAAAGTATTCGGGTCACGGGCCGAAGTTTATGTAACTCGGGTACCCGCTGACCCACTAGGTTTTTTTTTCCGTTTTTTAGGTTTAAGGTTTAAAAGGAACTAGTTATTTGGCCCCGTTCAACGAACAAACTTATTGTATAAGAAATGAGAAATCTTTGGGAAATTCTCACCAGTAACACCGAACTATTGTTTTTTCTCACTGGTAAAATGCAAATTTTTGGATTATCAATGGTAATCACCAATTAGTAATACTAATTAATTGGTAACATTAATGAAACTTTTACCTAAATATCGACTAACCACGGTTTACAAATAACACAATTACATACGTACTCTTATAAAAAAAATAACTTCCCTCCAAAAATTTGATGCTCCTTTCCCTTCTAAATCAATTACCCCCTTTATATAAACCCTATATCCCCCATTTCTATTCGTATTCCCTCCAAGGATGCACGGACACGCCAAAAATCTGAAGAGTCCGAGTCGACACGCGTGTCGGACACGGACACGGATGAGACACGGGGCGACACGTGTCCGACACGCAGAAAACCGTGTCCGATTTTTTTTAACCGTTTTTTATTTTTGGACACGGGCCGTGTCTTGGGCTGACACGGGCCGTTTTGGTATGGACACGCGAAATACCTAAATTCCTATGCTTTGCCTCTCTACCTCTTTCCAAGTTTCCAGTTCTCAAACTCTCAATCCTCTCATCCTCTCAAGTCTCAACTGAACCCCTTGCTGCTCACTTGCTCAGTCGCCGACTTGTAGGTCTCACCGTACCGCCGGCTTGCTGTCTCCGTCACCGCCACTCGCCTCCTTGCCGGTTGTCAGGGTTGCTGGCCTGGCCCTTGCTGCTCGTGGCCTTCATCTCTCATTGTTGCGGGGGTTGCTGGAGTTGCTGGCCTGGCCTTTGCTGTTCGCCTGCTCGTCCTCAGCCACCACCTATCACTCCACCGCCCACCTTGTCGCCCGTCGTCCGTGTCAGCCACCAGGTATGGTTCTTCTCTACTTTTTTTTTTTTAAAAATTCAATTAAAGTTCTGAATATGCATCCTTGGATGTCGAGAAGTGAGAGAATGTCGGTGAGAATGAAGTCTGGGAGAGAACTTAATCGGTCTTCATTTTCTGAGTCTCCGCCATTGTTGTCTTTAATGGAGCTCAATTTCAGCCTTTTCGTGCTTATTTCTTGGTGTTCTGCCATTCAACAATTGAGCTCCATTGTTATCTTTACTGGAGCTCAATTTCTGCCATTCAACAATTGCTGTGATTCTGAAGTGAATTCGAGTAATGCTAATTTGGGGAATTTTTTAGGGTTTTAATCAGTGTAAGTGTGTAAGAACTTCTGATTTTCTGAAATTTAATTGCTTCAATAATTCAATTTGTTGTTCGTCGTCAGCCAGACAACCACCGCCCACCACCGTGTTTTGACAGTTTTGTTGATTACTTGATGAGATGTTTGATTTTGTGTTATGTTTCTAGTTTTGTTTGATTACTTGAAGAGTACTATTAAGACATGTCTGGTTTGATGGTTTCTTGATATGTATCCGACTATGTCCGTACACTTTGTTCATTTACTTGTTTAATTAAAATTGTGTGTTTTGAGGCTAATTATTTAGTGTTTTATTGAATTAGTTGTCAAATTCTCGTTTTTTTAATATATTATATGCCTTGTTATACGCCGTACCCGTGTCCCCTATTTTAGGATTGTCGTTTTCCCGTGTCCGTATCGTGTCCGTGTCCGTGTCCGTATCCGTTTCCGTGCATCCTAGATTCCCTCTCCTTCTTCTCAATTTCTCCGAACACTTCCATGGTAACTCTCGATCTTCTTCTTCAATGCCAGCTATCACCATTGCTGACAACATTGTTTGGGTGAAATAAGTTCGGTGCAACTGTGCTCCCCTTAATACAAAGTCCGACTGTATCTGTGTCTATGCAGAGCATAATGGCCAGAACAAAAAAGACTGCCAGGATCTCAAACTCAGACGGCTCCTCCCACAGGGTGCCGATTAGTGAAACATCTGACCAGGCGCCAGATGTGGAAGTGAAACAAAGCGGCTTGAAAGCCGGCAGTTCTGAGGGAGGAGTCAAAGTGACCCCTTCCCATTTTACAGTTGACAATTCTACATTCTCTCCTGCTCCTTTTAAAGGAGAGGAGGCGGGCCCCTCCGGGAGAGGGGAGGATTCGTCCTCTTCGGACTCGTCAGAGGACGATTCCGAGTCCAGCTCTTCTGGCCACGCTTCCCTGGATACAGAAGAGAAAAACAGTCGCCTACAAGAGGCGAGGCTTTCTCACGCAGTTGAGAAGGGGGACGATTGGGCGGAGCCATCCGCCTCTCACCGAGAGCAAAATAACCCCTACTACTGCACGGTACCTCGGGGCCGGATCACGGCCATGCAAGAGAAAGTGGAGAGCTTTATCGCAAACCACACAATGGGCCCCGACTTTTTAGTGTTCGTGCCGGATCCAGAAGACACGGTCGTATGGCCGGCTGGTACCAGTTATGATGGCGCCTGCTTTGGCTGCTACGAGGCGGCCATCAAGGCTGGGCTGCGCTTCCCACTACATCCAGCTGTTCAGCGGATCTTGGATGGGTATGAGTTGGGGTTATGGCAGTTAGCCCCGAACTCCTGGGTCAACGTACTCGGCTATGTGGCCGGGTGCGAACTGCACGGGGTGGAGCCGAGCTTCGAGGCTTTCGCCCACATGAACTACCTCAGCCGGACCCCTAAGGCAGGCGGTACCGGCTGGTATCAATTGACGAGCCACAGGGGCTACCTCATGACGAGAGGTAAAGCAAACAAATGGAAGGACTTGCGGAGCACCTTCCTCATCATTGAGAGTTCAGACACAGAGCTGAACAAGCGCTTCAACAGGTGGAACAGGAATCCGCCCCTTCTTGCAGGCGGCCGCAGCATGCCGCCTGTTCCCCCCAAGGCTAAGAAAGAGATCCTAGATAAAGGACTCTTCAAAGTAGAGTCGAAGGTGAACTCTACTTCAGGGGTACGAGAGCAAGTACCCCTGCACTGCGTCCCGAGCTTCAAATGGCTCTACGACGAGTACTTTTTGGCCGCCTGTGGCCTCAGCAGTCGGTGCTCAAGAGGTAGTCGGCCTGTCGAATACTCTGTTGTTCCATGCATTTCTTGTTATGACTTTTATTAACTTTGCTATTTGTTTTTGCAGCGGACGCCATGAGCAAAATTACCGCCTCCAAGACTGCGGCGACCATGTTGCGGGCCTCCATCATGCAACACTCTTCAACCGACTCCCCCAACAAGGGGGCACCCTTGGTGGGCTTCGAACCTTTCACCCTCTTTTTGGAGTTGTGTTTATGCATATACTGACTCTTTTCTTCTTTTTTAGACGGGCGCTCCAAGAGCTTCTTCTTCCCAACAGCCGGACCCCAAGGCCCGGAGGACGACTGTTGCGAGCTCTCCTGGTTCTTCCAGGAAACATGCGGCGGCTGAGAAACAGCCGGCCACTTCTTCTAAAACTCCAGCTGGGCCACCTAGAAGTATGAAATTGCCCTTGTAAATTTTAGACTTGCTCTCTTCTTTACTAGGTCTAATCCGTTTGTTTATGCTTGATGCAGCCGGCCCTTAGGAGCCTGACTTGGTCGAGGTGGCCAAGTCTATGATCAAGGCCGTTCCTCCAGCTGAAAGGGAGGCGATCAGGGGTGTCGGCACCCTTGACCTAGACGGGATTGCAGGGGTCCTTGCTGAGGTATACTTAGCATATTTTTTAGTATTTGAATTCCAGGACGCCTGTTTTCTTTTTTGTTTGGAAACTGACGCCTGTTCCCCTTTTTACTTAGGCCCTGCTCCGAGTGAACGGCCTTCGCAAGCCGCTTGACCGGAAGAACAAAGAGGTAAAGGCTGCAAAAGCTATGGCCGCCTCTGACTGTGATAAGGCAATGTTTCAAATTGCCCAAAATGAAGTTCTGACCATTGATATTCTTTATTATCAGGCGCAGGCTACCGCCGCTATCCGGGCTCAGTTAGAGGCGACCATCAACAACCTCAAGGCCGAGCTGAGACCTCTTCGCCAAAAGATGTCCTCATACGAAACCTTGGAGAAATCCTTGGCGAGCGTAAAGGTACGCCTGGTGACCCAAGAGAAGAGTCTTACTCAGGAGCTCTCGGAAAAGGCCGAGCAAGAAAAGAAAGAGCTGGTCCGGGAGATGATGGAAGACTCTGCTCAAATCCAGCGGTTGACTTGGGGCCGCCTCTTCCCCAATGCTGACTTTGCCTCATGGGAAAAAACGTACCGCCAGTGTTCTGATAGATATAATCAGGAGATCCTGGCGGCTGCTAAGGAAGAGGCGTTGGCGGCTGCTGAGGAAGAGGCGTTGGAGGAGGAGGAGCAGCCGGTAGTGGCGCTTGTGCCGCTTGGGGGTAATGCATCAAAGAAGGATGCAGCTGAAGCCGAGTCCAACAAGAAGAGTGCTGACCAGGCGGCAGCTGCTAATATTGAAGATCTGCCCCCTTCTTAAGCTTTATGTCTTCTTGTCACGGCCTGCGTGCCGTTTGTTTGTATTTACCCGGCCAGGGGGCCGGGGCTCTGAATATTTTGCCGGGCTTTAATGACCGGCTTCTTTTTAATGATTTTTTTTTTGTTTTGCTTCAAATTTGTTTAAGTATTGAATATTCTGATCCAATTGTACACTATACCGACTGTTTTACATGGCCGATAGTTGCAGACAGGTACGGATAGTTAGTCACGCCGCCTATGCCCCTGGACGACTGGTTGTCTGTTTCTAGGCTAGACGATCAGTCGGCCATTAATCCAATCGGTATTCGAACCATTTTAAAGACTGGATCCCCTTTAGGCAGGCGGTCCTGTCATTTGTAAAATTAACCAAGTAGGAAAGTGGTTTGACCAAGTAAACATGATTGTTACCTAGTCGCCAAGTAACTGAGTAGTAGAGGTATCAAGCGGTTGGTACCGGTTGTTCCCCTTTATTCGCCAATGTTTGTTGGCTTTTAACTCATAGGTTGTTAACCTATCAAGAGTAGTGGTTGAGAGCCCCTGTTTTCTAAAAACAGGCGGACGACTCATACCTTTTAGGCTCCATACTAAGTTTGAGA